GGAATAGGTTAAGGGGGATAACTCAAAAATGAAATTTTGTGACATGTCTGGTTTTTCCGCTGAGGTCTTCAAATTATTGTTTTAGCCTTTCTAATTTAATATTTTCAACATTTAAAAAATCTTAGCAACACATTTACCAATTACATGAAAGCTATGTTTTATTAAAAGAATTTATTGTCACAGCTGTTAGAACTAACAATTACATTAACTTTCATATAATTCTTGGATATCAGACTTCACAGACTTTTCACAAGTGCCAAATATTATGCACAAGTTTAAGACATTCCTAGAAATTCTCTGTACATAGGCACACATTTAAGAAATCAAAATTATGAACATAAAAACTTACCATAAAATCTTTTGATGCCCCTTTTACTTTCCAACAAATATTGCACTTTGGTGGGAAGTCCATAGAAAGGTCCAATGTCCACTTTGGTCCCTTCTTTTCTAAAATGTGAAGCATCAAGTTGTGCTTGCTGCATGGATTCTTTCGTACTGAGCAGCTCGGAGGATGTCTCAATAGCTATTTCCTTGAATGTACACCAGTCAAAAGTGTATTCATAAAAGTTGTTATGATAGGATATATCTTATCTATATAATATATATATATTATACTTTTAATTTTAATGTCTCTATTACTTCTGTTGCACATATCTTTTTATCTCTTTTAGAGATAACAACATAAGCTGGGAACTGCTTATCTGTGCCAGAATGGGATCTTTTTGGATATCACGTGAGTGTCCGCCAAGAAAAAAATCCAGTTATTCCGGTTTTCAGGGCTATTTAAATGACTATTCTTATATTGGCATCCGTTAATGGTTCCGCTTCAATATAAAGTTATTTAGCAGAATACATTTAAATAATTATTACTACTAAGCTACCAATATATATTAAAAATATTTATAATATTCCCATTCTCCAATATCACCTATTTAGAGAATGACTTAGTTCATATCTAGAGCATGACTTAAGTCATATCTAGAGCATAAGTTAATTCATATCTAGAGGATGAATAAGTCATATCTAGAGAATGAGCTAAGTCCTGTCCAGAGAATGAATTAATTCATATCTAGAGAATGAGCTAAGTCCTGTCTAGAGAATGATATCTTCCAGTAAATTGGCAGTTGATATTTATCATCCTAAGCATTCCTCGTTTAATCATTGAGATTTATTGACAGGAAAACTTAAATACTTATATAAATTTTCATTGACTCAATCATTGACTCAATCATTGACTCAATCATTATTTACTTAATTTATAAAGCTAAACGGTATGGAGACATCTTTAAACACAAAAGCTGTGAGAGCAAGTCAAAATTAAATAACAAAATCTATCTTTCATTCAATTTTCACGAATTTACCCAAAATCTATAAATAAAAGGTAACAATCATTAACTCTAACATGAAAAGTGAACAAATAGCCTGAAAAGAAAAAATGGGATAAGTATTATTAGTATTACTATTAGAATATTAAAATGGTAATTAATTAATTTAATAATTAATTCTAAACTTAACAACATAATGATGGCCTAATTAATATTCTCCTGTGCCTGTACGAGTAGTTAATAAGTATAAGTATAAAAAAATAACAATTATTATTATTGCTATATAAATATACTATTTTGAACTAAATTATTTAGTAAATGGGAGCAACCCTTGGTCCCTACATAAACTTTTCAAGTTTGGTATAATCTTTTCTTAAATTTTAAAAATTATTCATTTAATTAATCAGATGTTTAAGGATTTAATAACAATGAATAACTTCATAATTGACAGTGATAACAACCATTTCTGGCTTCTTGATTTAAAAAAATAATAATAATTATTTGGGGGCATTTTCTTTCAAAACCTCTTCCATTAAGAGATGCATAACTTTTCAGGGACATAGTCAATGATAATAATTTTTTAAAAATGGAAAAAAAAACGATTAAAATGAATGTAGTTTTGCAGGACACTAAACCTTATTTGCCTTGCATAACTAATAAATAAGTATGTAGGCCTATGTGATATATTCTTTCTCTGTGATAATGATAATCCTGATCATGACACAATAACATCTGGTTGCACAGGTTTCATAGAAATCACAGGAAGACAAAAACTGACATGTCACAAATGATAACAGCAATTATTAAAGATAAAATGACATAGAATGCAATTTTACAAAAATACCCTGTAGCCGTAAGCCAAAATTGTAGAACAAGTTTTTTCGACATTTTAGGACATGTGCGGAACAATGCTCCAAGAGGATTTAAAGTAGGGCCTACCTACTAAAGAACAACCAAGATTGGTGGATGTAGAATTTATTATTAAATTTAATCTAAAATTCGACTATAAAAATAAAAGGCAAACCAACAATATCCTCAGAAAATTAAAAAGTGGAGGTTGCCATTTTGACAACGAAATTACGATACCCGATTTTTTGGTATTTCCAAGTGATACCGCAGTGCCTAATATATTTTAAAGAGTAAGAATTAATATGAAAGTTTGAATAAAAGATATAAAAGTTTAACTTCTTATGAAATTTTGTACAGACCGATACACATTAAATAAATCTTTTATTATTGTTAAATGTCTAAAAATTTTATGACTATTTAAACTCATCTCATCAAATTTTTTAAAATAATGTAATAACCAGTCAATTTTTAATATTAAAATTTTAATAGAGAAAACATAATTGTTGACTTCACCTAATCTAAACCCCACTCCCTCCCACCTTGTCAACAACTGTCAAACATTTCCAGCCCCGCCTCCCTATATTTTTGACATAATTAATGGACGACCCCTATATATGGATGAATACCACAATTTTATGAAAAAATAGTCCTTTCATTTTCATTATAGAAAAATCACCGACCTCCAAAAATTAAAAACTCAGATTCTTCTGCACTGATTCCAGTAAATATCATCATCAATACCAGGCACAGAATCAGAAACAGTGCAAATTCCCTCTACAAATTCCCTCTACTCTACATGCTACGGTTACATGCATATGAGCCAAAATGATTCATAAATTGATTGTGGGACCTTAATGATTATATAATTTATTATAATATAGACCTATAGAAGAAGAATGGTTGTGAAAAGTTCTTTGATTGATTAGTAAGTCTCTATCAAGTAGAGCTTTATTTCTTTCTCTCTTCTTACAATAATATCAAGCATTGGAAGCATTTTATTGTAAGAACTAAGGAATTGGGGCTTAATACACCAAGGAGCCTATTACCCACTGTTGCCCTACAACTACAATCAACAAGACAAAATTCAAAGTTTTTTTTTCTTTCTTTTTTTTTCATA